ACATGAACGCTGTACTGCAAAAAAAAAAAAAAAATCGCTCCACTAAGATGATGATAATATAAAAAATATGGCACTTCCTGTTTCACTCTGGCCATGGCTAAAAAACAAACAAACATAAAAAAACTATGCCATGTTACAAAATAGGTAAATCTTGAATTATCTGGGGGGTTTTTTCTTTTCTTTTCTTTTCTTTTTTTAACACTTTTTGTATTTGTAGGCTATTTATGTCACAGGCACTTTACAAACATTACTGGTTCTGGCCTATAATTAAACATCGGTTCAACTTAACCAGCACTTTACTGTAGGTTATACCACGTTTTTCTTATTTATTTTGGGGGGTGTTTCATCAATCTTGACCAGTATCAGCAATCAATTATCCAGTTATTTTTTCTCTCCTCTATTAGTTAATATGTTAATTTTTCTCACTTTGTGGTAATTTATTTCTCACAGTTTATGGAGTTCTGTTGTCCTTTTGTCTGTGTAACTTTAGTATCTTGTTTAAAATATGTTTAATAGATTTTGCTCATCTTCTGTGTTTTGTGTTCGGTCTCCTCTTCTTACTCCTCTGATCATTACACCTGTTTCTCATCAGCACACGTTTTCATTGTTGGTCCTGGTGCTTTGTCATTTAAAACTCCAGGTTTTGTTTTACTGTAATAAATTATGAGAGGTTTGTTACACTCATGAAGTATTGGGTAAAATATTGTCTGATTTCTAGAAGTCTTAAAACTCAAACTAGTTTGTGTACATTATTTTCTTTTATTATTTATTCATATTTTCTGCTTGCAGAACAAGAATCAGCATTTTCTCTACATTGCTCACATCCGTCCAGACTCGGCTGCATATTTTAACAGAACACAATGGCTTTCTTTATGTGACGTCTTTCTTTACTGTCCTTCTTATCCTAATTGCATCTTAGTTGCTGCTGTTCAGCTGCAGCTGCTGTCATTGTCAACCTGCATATTTCCATGTTCTGATGGTCATCTACTTATTGTTTGATCTTAGTCACAATTGTTTTTTGTACTGTTCTCATCACGTGAATATTCCTTGAGTTCTGGCAACTGTTTGCTCGAATCCGGCAACTCAGATATTCAGCCTTAAAAGTCCAAAGTCATTGTGCATTTTAACTTCAATTTTTAATTAAAAATACGAGAGGAGACATTGCCCAGTCTGTGGAGTGGATGTTACAGCTGCAGCAGGCACACCAGCTCACGAACACGCTCCTGCCCAGCAGAGACGCAGATAGCATGTCCTGCGGGGATGAAGTGTCTTCCACTATGGCAAGCCAAAAGGTCTGTTAATAGCCAGACATGTGGTAAAAGTGTCTATTAATGGGCCACTTGGCTTGTTGCTGTCTAAAATAGTAATTTAATCAAGTGTTTGCAAATGTAGGTAAATGTAGATGTTTAACAACCAGTTAAAGGGATTCATGATTAGTTGTAACAATAGACTTTATTTGAGAAATTCCTTTTAGATGTAAAAACAATACAGTAAAATATTGCAGGCTGTTTAGTTTTTACAAATTTAAATAAAATATTGCCACACGAACGTCGCCATGTTGTTTACGCTGCAATGCATTCTGGATAAATGATGTATGCTAGGTCCTGTAGTGCTAGCTCCATCCACATTTGTTTTTAACCATATTGCTAATTGCACTAACATTTTTTATATTTTCAAAACTTAACCTAATATGGAATATACAGACTTCAAATTCATATTTTGGAAATCTTTAACAAAAACCTGTGCAAGTCTGCACAAAAACACTTCTGACCTGTAATAATTTATAAATCATCTAAATTGTATCATTTAGAACTGGCTCCAGGCGATGTCTCACCTGGCATCTCTCCAACCTGTTCAAAAGACAAATTACATGATGTTTTTTGAATAACTTGTCTACATAAGTTTTTGAATAATATGAGGAAAAAAAATGTTATTTGAGCTGCAGCTAGTAGCATTAAATCAGAGCTTCTCACTTTATTCTGTTTCATGGTAGAGGTGTGGTGCTGCTTTATCGCTAAAAGATACGTGAAGGAATAATGTACTCCAACATATTAAAAATAAACGTAAACCCCTTGCCATATCCTGATGCATGCTCAATAATCCAGGTAGAAAAATCTTAAAAAGTTAAATCTGGTCCTCTGGACCAGCTGTAGCCTTCCTGTGTCTACTCTATAGATTCCAGTACAGAGCGGTTCTGACTGCATCATCAACCCAGCATGCATTGCGCAGGTGAAAAAATGGCAACCTCCAGGGGTGAAAAATATAACAAAATACATAAAGTTTTTGAAGTAATTATGAGTTTTTACATATCACAAACAGCTATTTTTAAGTTAACAGGAAAATTACAACATATTTAGGCAAACATATTCAACTAATCATGGTTCCTTTTAAAACAGGCTACACCAAAATGCAGGAAATAGCATCTACTTTATTCAAAAAGTTAAGGGGGAGGAGGACCCACAGGTCCCCCCCCCCCCCACACACACACACACACACACCGCTCGTCCACCATCCGCGCTCCGGCATTGATCATTTTACAAATTGAGCCCTGCTGCTACTGTATGTGTAGTGACTACTTTTGAGCCTGTTTCTGTATGTCAGCTACGTGTTTTAAATTGATCAACCCCCTGAACATTAGGTTCTTATACGACCACATGGTCTGCATGAAGTTGACGTTCTGTATTTTATGTATTTCAGAGTATGTTTATCACTCTAATTGGATATAAGTTGGTACTGAATGATGAAATAAAAGTGCAGATGTAATGTATCTGTTGTGTCGTTCTTCTATGTCTCTCTCTTAAAAAAATATTTTTAAATCAATTGCATTACTTGTTATAAAAAAGAACTATATATTTATGTATGTGGGTGTGGAGTGAATAAATTAGTAAAGGAACTATGTTTGGAACACTTTTTTCCCACTGCTGAAAGGTGAAGGCAGAGGGATTACGTGTGTGTCTTCCTGTGCCTGTTTTTTTCATGATCTGGAACTGGAAACTGTAACCAATGAATCACCTTAAGTAACAAGTGATTCAACATTTGGAGTCAATCCAATTCAAAATGGTTGCCATGGTTACCACAGCTAATCAAACACTGACACATTAGCCAACATAAAAATAGCCATCACTATGTTTCATATATATGGAGCTAAAAATTTGATGTGGTTGTAGCTGAGAGTCATCTCTCAACACACTCTAAACATAAAATGTATCATTATTAGACCTTTATTTATACAGGCTAGTTCCATTGAGCCTCGAAGACTCATTTATAATAGAGACCTACATACAGGCAGATATTAGTGGACATTCCGCCTGGTCCGTGCTCGATTTAGCATTCTCCAAGACTGAATCTTTCATGCTGGCGAGTTCCAGGAGCCGCAAGTGGCTTACGAGTCTCGGAAATCGAATCCAGCTTGCGGTTGAGCCAGTAAGCATATGAGCCTGAGCGCTCAAAGCATGATATAATGCTCAAAACATTGTTTTCAAGCCTTGACTAGTCTCAAAACAACCTAGACAAACACTAGTCAAGATTTATCATGAGCTTTCTTTAACAGTGGCTTTCTCATTGCTAATCGTCATAAAGCTCAGACTGGTGAAGAACCTGGCAACAGTTGATGTATGCAGAGTCTTTCTCGTCTCACCTGCTGAAGCTTGTAACTCCTTCAGAGTGGGTGTCTCAGTGGTTTCTCACTATTCTCCTTCCTGTGTGATCACTCAGTTTGTGACAACAGCCCATTCTGGGTAGATTTACACGTCCCATATTCCTTCCATTTCTCAATAAAAGGATTGAACAGAACTCCTGGGGATGTTCAGGACTTTATAAATCATTTTGTATCCATCTTCTCACGTGTACTTTTTAATGAACTTTTCTTTGAGTTGAATTAGGACAGTCACTTTACAGGGGGTGAATATTTGTGCTGTCACTTACTCTACAGCACGTTTTTACTGAATTGGTAGTCCCTATTCCTTAGGATTAGTGAAGGCATTTTAAAAAACTATTTTGTAATGAAGTCCAATATTGATTTGGATCATATTTGATTTATGACATCAATAAAAGCATAAAACATCAAAGAGGGTGACTACATTTTATAGGCATGGTAGGATTTAAGGTTTCCATTAAAATAATTCTAATGGCATCTTATCACAAATAAAGAGAAACTTTGTTGATCTAACAAAAAGGCAGTTGTGATACAAAGACATCTGACACACCATCTGGCTGTGATGCGTTATCTGGATCTAAGAAAACATCTAATTATACCCTTCCATCATAATGTTTGTGCATATGCCACCTCTCTATAACCACAACCTTCAGTGAAAGACTCAGCCTGTATGCATTGTGCAGTCAAAAGTATTCACCCTCTTGGATGTTTTACCCTTTGATTGCTATTACAAAACTGTTATGGTCAATATCAACAGGCATTTAGACAAAAATAAAAATTTTGGCTAAGTGACGTAATTTGTCAAAAAGGCACATTTATACTGACCAGACTGATTTTAGATGGAAATAAAAGCATATTCATTCAGCCTTTATTTAAACAGATAAATCACATTGAGCCTCGAAGACTCATTTACAAGTGAGACGTGTTTGGACATACAAAAAACAATGGTTAACTGGACACATGTAGGAGTTGGAGGCGAAAAATAATTCCTATCAGACTTTTTTTTCTTGCCTGAGGAAAAAAAACCCCTCTAATATTAAAAAAAACCACCTCACACAAACAAGCACATATTTGCGTAGACATTCTGCATCAGAGACGAGACAGGTCAACAACGCTTATAGATGCTCTCGAGGTCACTGTAATCAGTCAATGTCCTCCGGTGAGATCCATAAACATTCTCGAGGTATATCCTGATGCATGCTCAATAATCCAGGTAGAAAAATCCAAAAAAGTTCAATCTGGTCCTCTGGACATTCAAAAAAAACAAAAAACAAAGCAAAAAAATTTAGAAACGTTTCGTCTCTCATCCAAGAGACTTCCTCAGTCTGAGGTGCTGTTTTCAGCTCAGTCTCTTAAATAGCACCATCTCAGAGTGGCTCAAACAGTTTGCTGCTGACAACCAAAACCAGCTGATCACATGCTCAAGAAGGACCATCAGCCTAACAATGGATCATTAGCACACTGATGGCTGTTTACTGTTCACAGAGGGCTGAGTGATACTAGCAATCACAGCATTGTAAGAGGGGGACAATGAACACGTAGGCCTTCACCCCTGTTTAACGATGGATGATTTCTTTTCACAAAGATGGCCTCCTTTACTCCTCTCTCAAACCATCGTTCCTCTCTGTCCAGGATGTGAACATCTTCATCCCTGAAAGAGTGACCGCTGGCCTGGAGATGAGTGTAGACCGCAGAGTCCTGGCCTGATGATGTTGATCTTCTGTGCTGGTCCATCCTTTTGGCCAGTGGCTGTTTAGTGTCCCCGATGTAAGACTGATCACAGCCCTCCTGACACTGAACAGCATACACAACATTGCTCTGTTTGTGCCGGGGGACTGGATCTTTGGGATGAACCAGTCTTTGCCGTAATGTATTTTGGGGTTTAAAAGCCACTGGGACGTTATGTTTAGAAAATAAACGTCTCAGTTTCTCTGATACTCCCTCAACATATGGAATGACCACTGGTCTGGGTCTGGGTTCCTCCTTTTCACCTG